TTTAATACAGCAGACAAGAGCAGTCCTGATTTCCAGGAGATGCAAAAGCCACTATCAATTTATCTCATCCCAAATAATTATCTGACATTCCTAAGTCAAGGTCTTGATTTATTATTAAGTGGAGCACTACTTTAGAAAAAATCTACATTTAATATTTCACATTCCAAACAAAACACTAAATAAATCGCACTACTTACGGTCTCACATTTTCTACAAACCAGAATTGGTAAATAGTTTGCTACTCATCATTTCCAATTACATCTATATCTGCGACAATCTCATTAAGGCTCTGCCACCAACCGATTATGGGCCGTGCGGACGTTGTCGACAGTGGGTCGAGGTTGAGACTCGAATTGGTTCGGTGTGCTGTGACGTCGTCAGTCGGGTCGCCTTTCATTTGGTCAGTGCTCGGCTCAAATGACCATCTGATTGGTGGATGCAGCCTTGACTAGCGAGTCAGTGGTGCCGAGAAAACGAATGATCGAGGAACACGCAGTGTCTTTGTTATTATTAAGCCTCGTATTTTTCTGTTTCAGCGAGTATGACAAGAACTCCTTCTTATATCAACGACTTTCTGATGAAAAACCAATGATACGAAGAGTCTCTGTGTTACTAGGTCTGAGTGATCCGTCATTTCCGGTTTTAATTTTTTAACACAGATTAGCGCCGCCTGCTGTTATGGGGACGTATTACGCCTCGCGCACGCGCAGAACGTACGCTGCAGAGGGCTCCAGAGGGATTAGAGAGCGTTAATACTTGTTTTGTCATCATGTAAAAGTATTCCCAAATAGTTGATTCTATGTCAGCATTGACCTTTGACCTGACCTGGTTCAGGGTGATTTAAAACAGTAGAAGGTGTGTTGAGACATTTTCAACCAACAAAATGCCAATTTTCATTCACAACTTTGGTATAAGTAGAATGTCAATATTAACACCAGCATCGATATGTTTCAACACAGTACAGTCATATAATACAGTTTACAGCTCATGAAACACGTTTTAGGATGGAGTACCTCTTTAACCTAGTATTTAAACATATTGGTTGTTCTATGTGGCCAGAATTCTTGAAAATGTATGGCCATATTGGCCATAAACAAAAGACTATAATTAACTCTGCTGCCCACCTCTTTGCTTTGTCGGAGGCTGACGCTGAGTTGGTGTAAGAGTTGGACTGGTGGGCGGGGCCTCTAGATGCTGCTCCAGGAGGGGGCGGAGTTGCAAACAAGAACGAGCTGAGGAATCTCCACACAGCCAGCAAAGGGTAGAGTAGTGTGCCCAGAACTGCCCAGATACTGCCCCCAGAGGACTGGACCACGGCGTTAGCCGGTCTGCCTGACTGTTGAGAGTGAAATAATAGACACAAGAGGCATGTTTGAGGGATGGTTTAACATTTTAGGACATACACATAATTTCCTCACTCACCGGCAGAACCACGATGGAAGCACTTGGAGCCAGTTCCAGCTCCAGCAGGGTCTTGTCCAGGTCTTCACTGGTAAACTCCCGCCGAGGGAACATAGTGGCCAGGGAGAAGTTACCGTAGCGGTTTCCCACTTCCTGAGACAGGACCAGGACAAAACATTTTCTGATTCTGCATCAAGGGATTAACAATGCTGTGGTAAACCATACGGTACAATCACATTATTCAAAGATGTCAGTGTCTGACGGGGAATCACTGTGAAGTCACAGTTTAGTCCAGAGACTCCTGAGATTCTACAACACTAAGGTCCTATATCACAAAGTGAGGTTAATGGGATATCCAGCTATATTTGGGATTTTCTCAGGATATATTATGAAGCAGGCTCACTTTTAACCAGTGTACACAATAATCTATTTTGCAAAGGATCAACAGCCCAACTACTGACCAATCACATTACTGGATATACTTGAAGTAGAAAACCCTAGACCCCAGCTCTAAGTGGGTCCATCTGGTTGCCTCAACCATTTGGGTTTAGAGAAAATAGAGAGAGAGAGGCGTGGGAGATTGAGAGACAGAGTTTCCTACAGAACCTAACTGGGACAAAGGTGCTGAGAAATACAGAGCAATAGATACTTTTTTTTTAAATAAATAAGTATAATCACTTTGTCACTCTGATTTTAAAACAGAGATTCTAACAAACAGAGGGACAGTTTACCAAAAGCTGCATTTTAAATGCATAAAGATTTATTGATTCCTAATAGGATTCCTGACCCTGTTGATGTTTTTTACACTCTTATTTCAACACTGTAGTTCAAAATAACATAAGGAGACTTTGTGATGATAACTGGAAATAAAAAACAAACCCCCAGTTGTCTTTTATCAGAAAAATATTTACAGACCGTTAATTAGCTCCCTTGATAGCATGTCTCCTCTCCATTTTGGCAGCAGAAACTAACATTACCTTAAATTTGGTGATTACATTGTTCACATTTCACTTAGTTAAAATTCACTTTCTGCTGTCACCATGACTTCATTTAAACATCTCATTTCACATTAAGTACTTCATTCCTGGATCTGATGATGTTTGCTTGAAATTAAAGGGTAACTTCAGTATTTTTTTATTTTTTGTGTTTTGAATTTGGTCCAATATTAAGTGACAGCTCTGCAGCTGTGAAACAGGCTACAATGTAATCCTTGCAGGCAGTTCCACACCACAGTGCCTTTTTTTTTTTTTAACCAGTGTTTCACGCATTTACCAGGAGAGTGTAGCGTCAATATATTTCAGTTAAACCAGCTTTGGGTCACGGTACTAAGATAATCACGGTACTAAGATAATCACTACTTATTTAGAGAAGTGCTCTTCTCACAAACTTTCTATAAATATTGTTTGTCTCCACTACACTAGTAAAGGTATTAAATAAATGCATAGTTTGGTTTTGCTCATATTTTATTTGGTGTGGTTATTTCAAATTATGGTGTGGATTCAGTTTGTGTCACTACAAGAACCTTTCCTAAGTTTTAGCACTTTACTTTCCAGGGATCATTATATTGGTAGGAGAACATACTGGAATCTTGGGATCACCTTAAAGGTATTGTACTTTTTTTTTTTTGCCTTTATTTGATATGGACAGCTGAAGATAGAAAGGAAAGGGGGGGCAGAGAGAGTGGGGATGACACGCAGCAAAGGGGCAGTCGGATCGAACCTGGGCCGTGCAGCAAGGCTTACATTGGTACATGGGTCGCAGCTCTACCGACTGAGCTAACCGGTCGCCCAAGGTAGTGTACTTTTAAAAAGAATCGTCTTTCTCCTCGTCTGACTGATTTAATCAGAAAATGGCATTATGAATAATTGTCTCCAGTAACGTGTTTAAAAATCTAGCTTCTTTCAAGAGAAAAGAGTGGTCCATTCCTTGATGTTATGGTTTTCAAATCCTGTGGAAAAAAGTCTAACATCAACTATAAGAGCATGGAGCGCACTGATCAGACAGACCTGAGCAGCAAAATTCCGAGCCTCCTGCAGTCTGCTCTGTGAGGGGAACTGGTTGGTGAAGGATGAGCCATCTGGAAGGCGGAACTGTATCCTCGCTATGGTACTGCGCGCCCCACCAACACACACACACACACACACACACACACAGGTTAGGGTTAGAGTAAGCCTTTATATACTGTTAAAGACATTAACAACATTACTACTAAATAAGTTACTACAACAGTTTAGAAGGCCTACTAAACAATATACAGATTTACACAAAAACTGTGTGGAAAGAACATTTTACAGCAGATATTTTGAGTTGCTTAAGCAGGAAAGGCTTTGTTGTACTGGCTCACATGAATGATGGCTCTGGCTTTTTCAATTTTGTTAATTTTGTTGTAAATTTGACTATGTTCCATACTTACACAACTTAATTCAAACTTCAGAATGAGGAAATCAAATTGCTACACTTCTGGAATAGTCCACCTACTGCACTAAGATACACTAGTGCACTAATTACTTGATAATAATAATGAATAACTTTTAAAGAACTTAAGACATGGCTCTCGGTAAACCAAACTTATGAGTAACCTGACCACTTACTTAATCTCATTTTTTTTATATGTCACTTTCGTTATGTATTTATATATTATATTGTTATGTATTTATGTATTATATTGTTATGTATTTATGTATTGTATTGTTTTTTAGCATATTTACAGTGTAGAATTACAAGTGTAATGTCAACTACAATGTTGATTAATGACAGTATAGGAGCCTCACGGTGACCACAGTCACCATCGGAGGCTAGGTGATTTAAAGCGGCACCAACCAAGACTAGACACGGCGTGTTAAGGAAGGGACAGGAGAGAAGTGAAGGGAGAGGAAGAGGAGCAAGTTTATAGTGAGTAGATTTTTAAGTAACATTATACGTCATCCATCTGGTCCATGAGCATTTGTTTTGAAGTGATGTTATACTGTGCTGAAGTAAATGTACAGTCTCACTCTCTGTCTCTCCGTCAATCTCTCGCTTGGTTGTTCTGATATTCAGAATCATAACCACTTTTTCCGTTATCATGTAGAAGGCAATAATGATTAAAATATATATATTTCAATAATTAAATTAATATCATATCAGCGTTGAATGACTAGTCAACTATTTGCTTGAACTACTAGTCGACTAGGGAAATATTTGTCGAGGACAGCCCTAGAACTGCCTGATACTTTTAAATATAATGATAAAGCATCCTGAAATGGTAAATGGACCTGTACTTTTATAGCGTCTTTTCGCCCACTCAAAGCGCTTTTACACTACATGTGACATTTGCCCTTTCACACACACTCTGCCTATAATTTTTTTTCGTTAGAGCACAAAATGTCCTTAAAGTATGTTTCGTGTTCCTCCTACACACTTTGTCTGATTCGCACGAAATTTTTCACGTAGCACCTAGGGACCGTCCTGGAAAAAAAAAAAAAGTAATTTAAAGTATTTTGATATTTCGAAAAATAAAAAAGTTATAAACTTAGCACTTCCTGTTGATTTTTCGTCAAAAAAGGAAGTGGACCATTTC